AGACGTGTATGGTTTACGGGCTTGGTTACCACACCTTGCGATTAAAGGGCCGAGGGAGTTCTCGCAGTTTGGGTTACCACGCCTTGCGATGGATGTGCGTGAGGGGTGGCACCGAATTTCAGAAATGTGGCAAATCCCATGTGTTTTTGGACCCTGACCCCGCGGATCTGCGTAAGGGGTGGCGCCGAATTTCAGAAATGTAGCAAATCCCTTTTGTTTTTGGACCCTGACCCCGCGGATCTGCGTGAGGGGTGGCACCGAATTTCAGAAATGTGGCAAATACCCTGTGTTTTTGGACCCTGACCCCGCGGATCTGCGTGAGGGGTGGCACCGAATTTCAGAAATGTGGCAAATCCACTGTGTTTTTGGACCCTGACCCCGCAGATCTGCGTGAGGGGTGGCACCAAATTTCAGAAATGTGGCAAATCCATATGTTTTTTGGATCCTGACCCCGCGGATCTGCATGAGGGGTGGCGCCGAATTTCAGAAATGTTGCAAATCCCATATGTTTTTGGACCCTGACCCCGCGGATCTGCGCGAGGGGTGGCACCGAATTTCAGAAATGTGGCAAATCCCCTGTGTTTTTGGACCCTGACCCCGCGGATCTGCATGAGGGGTGGCACCGAATTTCAGAAATGTGGCAAATCCCCTGTGTTTTTGGACCCTGACCCCGCGGATCTGCATGAGGGGTGGCACCGAATTTCAGAAATGTGGCAAATCCCCTGTGTTTTTGGACCCTGACCCCGCGGATCTGCGTGAGGGGTGTTGATTTCGAGCCCCCCCAGCAATTCAGACAACGCGCCCAGGGGGTGCTAAAAAGCCGGTTTGGGCCGGGGGTCAATCAACTAGTTACAGTAACCAGCAACAAATCAACTAGTTACAGTAACCAGCAAGAAGCAGAACTGTAACACTGGAAACTACAACCTACGACTGGTACAGGAAACTGCGAATCACGGGCCTACAGCCTGGTGGCCCCACAAGGGGGCCGGCGGATTTTCATGTTTCGGCGCTTCTCGTTTGCCATCTGCACGCGTTGCGATCAGCGGTTGTTTTGGATCGTTTACACGTTTGAGATGACTGTTTTCTGGTGGCCCTCCCCGCGTGCCCTCACGGCGCGTGCTGCGTCTATCGCGTGAGCCCAGTGGCGACGAAACGCGTGGTGTTGGCTGCGTGCGCAGCAGGGTCGGTTCGCTCTTGTAGCGGAATCAATGCGACCATGGTTCATGCGGGATTGGGAAGGTATTCCCTTTGTCTGGCACGCAGGGCGCCGTGTATTTTACGCGCGCTTAAACACGCATGGGGGAAATCGTGCACAAAAAAACAAAAACAGGAAATCTTCAACAGGGATCGCGGTTTCCCCGATGTATCCTCGGAGCATTTCTTGGGTGCGATGTTTGTTTGACTACCCTGGAACGTACTCAACCCTTTGTACACATGAGGCGACTATACATTGGATCGGTCAGTACAAAACCAAGCATTGAAGGATCCGCCGTGTTTTTGAACGTTTCGCCAAAGAACGTTTGGCCAGAGTCAAATGTTTCACATTCGCGGCATCGCTAATAAGAATCAGAGCGTTGGCAAGAAGACGGCCGCGATGGGGGCGTAGGAACATGCTCATGAACCAGAGGAAACTGGAGACGTGCTTCGTGGGAGTAACAGCGCGTCGCGATAGGTTCCCACTGCAGAACAGCGCCACGCGCGCTATGACAAAGCAACGCCCTGCGCTAAGCGTTGCAAGTGCCCGAGTGCACCACGGACAAGCGGCAACTAAAGAGTCGATGCGGCATGGGCACATGACAGCGCCATGCGTTCCGTGGCGCCCCATCCTGCTGCGATCTGCGACCAAACAGCGCAGCGACGTCTCATGGTGGCCCCCGTGGGGCACCCTTTCTGCAGGACCTTCCAGGAACCCGACGGGTCGTGGTAATCCGCGTGGGACTCACTTCCGCTGGACCTCCCCTCAGAGGGGGGGATGATGGAAAGGTGGCAGGGGGAGGTAGTGCGGGACTGCCCTGTCCATGGGAGCGGGGAAGCACATTGTATTCGGAGGGACTGGGAACGAGAGAGAGAGAGAGAGAGACACAACGAATAATCACCGGACAGCTCGCCCCTTGGCCCCCCGCCAGCCCCACGCCAAGGGGCGAGCATATATACGGGCGCAGCACCTCGCTGGAGGCGTAGCCGTCGGCTGGGCCGACCATACAGATGATGCATCGCGTGGCGGCTGGATGCCCGCGCCGAGCACAGAGCTCTTCTCGGTTCCTCCCTCCTCTTCCTCCTCCTCCTCCTCTTCCACCTCCTCCTCCTCCTCCTCCTCCTCCACTTCCACCTCCTCCTCCCTTCTGCCGCCTCCTCATCCCGTCCGCGTCCTCCGCCCTCGAGCTGATCTCCCCCCCCCCGTCGTCCATTTTCAATGAAATCCTCCTCCCGCCGCCTCTTGCCTCGTCCGCCCGAGATATCCTCACCCGCTTGCTTAAACCTGCCACCCGAAATATCCTCACCCGCTGGCTTAAAACTGCCACCCGAAATATCCTCATCCGAAATATCTTCACCCGCTGGCTTAAAACTGCCACGCGAGATATCCTCACCCGCTGGCTTAAACCTGCCACCCGAAATATCCTCACCCGCTGGCGTAAAACTGCCACCGAAATATCCTCACCCGAGATATCCTCACCCGCTGGCTTAAAACTGCCACCGAAACATCCTCACCCGCTGGCGCTTAAAACTGCCACCGAAATATCCTCACCCGCTGGCTTAAAACTGCCACCGAAATATGCTCACCAGCTGGCTTAAAACTGCCACCCGAAATATCCCCACCCGCTGGCTTAAAACTGCCACCCAAATATTCTCACCCGCTGGCTTAAAACTGCCACCCGAGATATCCTCACCCGCTGGCTTAAAACTGCCACCCGAGATATCCTCACCCGCTGGCTTAAACCTGCCACCCGAAATATCCTCACCCGTTGGATTAAAACAGCCACCTGAAACATCCTCATCCGAAATATCTTCACCCGCTGGCTTAAAACTGCCACGCGAGATATTCTCACCCGCTGGCTTAAACCTGCCACCCGAAATATCCTCACCCGCTTGCGTAAAACTGCCACCGAAATATCCTCACCCGAGATATCCTCACCCGCTGGCGCTTAAAACTGCCACCGAAACATCCTCACCCGCTGGCGCTTAAAACTGCCACCGAAATATCCTCACCCGCTGGCTTAAAACTGCCACCGAAATATGCTCACCAGCTGGCTTAAAACTGCCACCCGAAATATCCTCACCCGCGGACATAAAACTGCCACCCAAATATTCTCACCCGCTGGCTTAAAACTGCCACCCGAGATATCCTCACCCGCTGGCTTAAAACTGCCACCCGAGATATCCTCACCCGCTGGCTTAAACCTGCCACCCGAAATATCCTCACCCGCTGGCTTAAAACAGCCACCCGAAATATCCTCATCCGAAATATCTTCACCCGCTGGCTTAAAACTGCCACGCGAGATATCCTCACCCGCTGGCTTAAACCTGCCACCCGAAATATCCTCACCCGCTGGCGTAAAACTGCCACCGAAATATCCTCACCCGAGATATCCTCACCCGCTGGCTTAAAACTGCCACCGAAACATCCTCACCCGCTGGCGCTTAAAACTGCCACCGAAATATCCTCACCCGCTGGCTTAAAACTGCCACCGAAATATGCTCACCAGCTGGCTTAAAACTGCCACCCGAAATATCCTCACCCGCGGAAATAAAACTGCCATCTAACGGCCTGGTGGTTCAGTTCAGTCTGTCAGTGTCTACCTCGCGAGAATCAAATTACGGGCTGCGCCCGTAAAACAAACAAAACGAGAGACAGAGAGAGAGAGAGAGAGAAAAGGAGAGACAGAAGAGAGAGAGAGAGAGAGAGAGAGAGAGACACACACACACACACCAAAAAGAGACAGCAAGAGAGAGAGAGCAAGAGAGAGAGAGAGAGAGAAAGAGACGGAGAACAGATTCGCCCGCCCTTCCATCCCCTCTCCTTCGCCCGCACGCCCCGGCCCCAGGGCCCCGCCGCCGCCAGGCTGGGGGCATCTTTTGCGGCTCCCTGGCCGCGAGCCGCGGGGCACTGGCGTTGGACGAGCGGTACACGCTCGAGACAAGTTGTTTTTCCCCCCCAGTGATAACGGGCGTGACCGGGCGGGGGAGGGCGGCCAAGAGGGGGGTGATGACCACGGGGGCTGGATATCATGGCGGGGGCCATGATAGTTTCCAAGATTTCACGGCGCCTCTTCTTATTTCATTACGTCCCGGGCCCCCCCCCTGGGCCGCGCACGTGCCGCCGGCCATGATTTGCGCCCCCCCCTCTCTTGGACGCCCCACTCTTGGCCGCCCCCGATGGGGGGGGGAGGGTCGGGTGGGTGGCATTTGGGGGTGACCTCAATGGGGGGCGAGAAAGAGGTCCCTACCCTTTGGGGCCCCTTTGGAGCCCCTTCTGGCTCCCAAAGGGACCCCTAACGGGCCCCTTCAGGCTCTTGTTCTCCACCTCCGAAATAGGTCACCCCCTATTACCATGCGCCCGAGAGGGGGGCAGGTGGCCAGTCACGTCACGATTTGCGTCGACGCCCTCTGCGAACGCCTGGGCCCTGTTCATTCCTGGACGGTGCCGGCGCGAATCGTGATGGGACCGGGGGGTGGGTGGGAAAGGTCGGCCACGCGCAGAGGGGGGTAGGGGGGGGGAAAGCTTCTTAGAAGCACCCCTGCTTCTTAGAAGGCGCGGTCCTTATGTACAGATGTAAGGCCGCCGCCTTCTAAGAAGCAGCCTCCTTCTAAGAAGCCTTCCCCCCTCCCTCCACCCCTTTCTGCGCGCCGCCGAAAGGGGGGGGGCGGGACCTGTCACGGGCGTTATCGCGAATAATGAGCATTCAGTCTCCTGCATGTAAAGCGTCGTTGGGCTCGTTTTGTCAGGCGTTGGCAGCAGCGAGCGTGGGTGCGCAAGCGGAAGTGCGACCCGCTCGCTCGAGGGCAACTACATTGCGAACGTGGTAGGCAATTACCCTTGGTTCTTCACCATGAATTTCCTCCAGAAGAGTATCGCGGTACGCTTCCCGCAGCGTTTGCTCTTATTGACGGCTTCGAGCTTGCAGTCTGCAGTCAGGAAGGTTGCATGCCAAGACACACTTAACTTGATGAGTTATGCGTCGGTCGGGGCAGCGTAGTGCTTCCCAACCCTCTTGGGTTGCGCTCTCGTTATGAATGGAGCACTCTGGTCCCCACTTTGCCTCCTACCTCCTGCCTCCTGCCTCCTGCCTGCCTCCTGCCTGCCTCCTGCCTCCTGCCTGCCTCCTGGCTGCCTCCTGTCCCCACTCTGCCTCCACCTTTCAGGAGGAAAAGAACACACAGGCACAATGAATCGTCGATTCCCCAGAAAATATGGGAAAATATGGGAAGTGGGGGGGGAAGATAAAAACACAGGAAATATGGGAAACTAAGGGGAACCTGTTTATTTGTGTGTATTTATCTGTGTGTGTGTGTCCCAGGGCCCCTGCAACCTTGTGGGGTCTCTCCTCCGGCCTCCTGCCTCCCGCTTCCGGCCGCCCGCCGCCTCTCCCTCCTCGTCCTCCTCCCTCTTCTCTCTCCCGTCCTGCTCATGACGCCCTCCTCTCTCGTCCTGCTCGGGGCCCTCCCCGTCGCCACGCTCGTGGGCGCTTGGGAGGTCCAGCGGGAGAGGCAGTCACGCAGGCCGCGTCGAGACCTCGCGGCTCCCCGCGTGGCTGCCACAACTGCGCAGTGGTCACCTCTTCCATGGGCTCTCGGGAGGTCCAGCAGAGCGGAGTGGGACCGCGCGGCCCCCTGCGTGGCTGCGAATGGCGCAATGGTCGCCATTGTCGTGGGCGCTCCTGAGAGGTCGCGCGGAGTGGAGTGGCACGCAGACCCAATTGGGACCTTGCCGCTCCCTACGTGGCTGCGAATTGCGCGATGGTCGCCACTGTCGTGGGCTCCTGGAAGGTCCAGCGGAGTGGAGGGGTAGGCGGACCCACTTGGGACCTCTCGGCTCTCTGCGTGGCTTCGAATTGCGCAATGGTCGCCATTTTCGTGGGCTCCTTGGAGGTCCAGCGGAGTGGAGTAATACGCGGACCCAGTTGGATTCTCGCGCGGCTCCTGGCGTGGCTGCGAAGAGAGCAATGGTCGCCACGTTCGTGGGCTCCTGGGAGGTCCAGCGGAGTGGAGGGGTAGGCGGACCCACTTGGGACCTCTCGGCTCTCTGCGTGGCTTCGAATTGCGCAATGGTCGCCATTTTCGTGGGCTCCTTGGAGGTCCAGCGGAGTGGAGTAATACGCGGACCCAGTTGGATTCTCGCGCGGCTCCTGGCGTGGCTGCGAAGAGAGCAATGGTCGCCACGTTCGTGGGCTCCTGGGAGGTCCAGCGGAGTGGAGGGGTAGGCGGACCCACTTGGGACCTCTCGGCTCTCTGCGTGGCTTCGAATTGCGCAATGGTCGCCATGTTCGTGGGCTTCTTGGAGGTCCAGCGGAGTGGAGTGGTACTCGGACCCAGTTGGATCCTCGTGGCTCCTGGCGTGGCTGCGAAGTGAGCAATGGTCGCCACTTTCGTGGGCTCCTGGGAGTCCCAGCGGAGTGGAACGGTACGCGGACCCAGTTGGGACTTCGCGGCTCCCTTGGGGGCAGCCCAAGTGCGCAAATGCCCACGTGTTCGTGGGTGTTTTCGAGGTCGCGCGGGGTGGAGTGTTGCGTCGATTTGCTTGGGACTTCGCGGCCCCTTGCGTGGCTGCGGATTGTGCAATTGTCGCCACTGTCGTGGGCTGGGAGGTCGCGCGGAGTGGAGTGGTCGCGGACCCAGTTGGGACCTCGCGGCTCTCTGCGTGGCTGCGGATTGCGCATTCGTCGCCACAGCTCCTTGCCTGGTTGCGAATTGCATAACCGTCGCCACTTTCGTGGGCTCCTGGGATGTACAGCGAAGTGGTACGTGGTACGCAGACCTCGTTGGGACCTCGCGGCTCCCGGCGTGGTTGCGAAGGGTTCATTTGTTGCCATTTCCGTTGGCTCCTGGGAGGTCCAGGGTAGGACCCAGGTAAGACCGACCTCGCGGCTCCCTGCGTCGTTGCGAAGTGTGCACTTGTCGCCGTTTTCGTGGGTTCCTGGGAGGTCCAGCAGAGTGGAGTGGTACGCAAGCCCACCTGGGACCTCGCGGCTCCCTGCGTGGTTGCGAATTGCGCAATGGTCGCCACTTTCGTGGGCTCATGGGAGGTCCAGCAGAAGGGAGTGCTACTCGGACCCTGTTCGGACCTCGCGGCTTCCTGCGTGGCTGCCGAATGCGCAATTGTCGCCGTGTTCGTGGGCTCCTGAGAGGTCGCGCGGAGTGTTGTGGTACGCGGACCCAGGTGGGGGACCTCGCGGCTCCCTGCGCGGTTTCGAAGTGCGCAAGTGTCGCCATATCCGTGGGCTCCTGGGAGGTCCAGCAGAGTGGAGTGGTGCACGGACCCAGTTGTGACCTCGTCGTTCTCTGCGTGGCTGCGAATTTCTCGCGGCTCGCCACTTTCGTGGGCACTCCTGCGAGGTCGCGCCGAGTGGAGTTGTACAGGGATCCAGTTGGGACCTCGCGGCGCTGTACCGTCACGCAGTGCTCGGCCCTGTCGCATCGCACCTCGCAGGAAACCGCTTCGCCACGCAGCGCATGGCGCTGTTTTCATTTTGTCTACGTGGCCTCCCATCTTCAGCTGCCTTGGCCTGCCATGCCACCCCGCGCGCTTGCCTCGCTCTGGTCGACTCGCCGTTCTGCTATAGAGCGAGCGCACGGCGCTGTTCTTTCCAACGTATGTAGCGCTCGGCGCTGCTGCTGTAATTGAGCATGTATGTCCCTTCGCACCCTCTGTATGCTGTTGTTGTCATGTCTTTCGTGTTTATTCCTATATGCATTCTTGCGTACTGCTGGGAGCCCATGCGCACTGCGGGTCCGGTCCTCAACATGTATGTTTGCAGGGGGCGGTCACATACCTAAAATTTAAATTCTTATATATATATGTGTATATATTTATACATGCATGTCGGTTATATGCTTGAAAAAAAGGTTTGGGCACGTCACGGCTAAGTTTCGCATGCGTGTCAGCAGTCGTCGGCATTTGCACGTTTGCGAATATCCAGCTGCCTGCGGCAAACCCAGCCTCCGCGCCTGTGCAGCAGCGCTGCATGAAGGAGGCTTAGTGTAGGAACGACGCAATTCTGACGAATAGCTTGCCTTGGGGCGGGTCGCGGTTCCGGCTTCGTCTTCGCACGCGCAGTGGGGAGGGGGAGGTTTCTTATGAAGTCCCTTGGGATCTTCCCGAAGGCCTCTTGGAGGTTTCGTGGGGCCTTTTTGTGACCTTTTGGGGCATCCTACGCCACCTTCGGGGAGGTTCTTGACCCGCTTGACGTCTACGGAGGCCGCGTTGGGGGCCTGTTTGGCCCGTGTTGGTGCCTGTTTGGCACGGTTTACGGCCGTCTTGCGGTTCAGTTGTAAGTTGTTTGGGCGATCTTTTAATTCGTTCGGGCCGGCTTGAGGTCTTGAGGCGTCTTGGGCCGCCTTGGGCGGTCGGAAACCCGAACAGGCGAGAGCTTCAAAATGTGTCAAACACCTATGGGCCAAACTGTGCCCATATCTGTCCAAATCCGTTAATAATCTAAGGACAATCAATTGTCTCTGCTCCTTCGGGCCTTCCAGGAGGGCCAGTTGGAACCTTTTTGGACGTCTTGGGGGCCTCTCGATCTGTGTTGAGGCTCTTTTGGGAGCATCTTGAGCCGTCATGGGCCATCTTGAGCCGTCTTGGGCCTCAAAACAAGACGGCCTGAACAGTTCCCAAGAGGTTTTCCAGGAGAGCCCGAGTAACCCAGTGCCGGGGAGAAAGCTCCCACAGAGGCCATCAAGCTCGCGTTTCAGGAAAGATTGAACCTGTCCCAGACGTATCGATGTCAGGATGCCTGCATCGGTCTCCAAGGGCCTCCATGATGAAGCCACCATGATTCGTCTTGAGGGCCTGCCTGGAGGTGTGGGAAGGGCACACCTCTACGAGATACCCCATGAAATACGATGGCGAAGTACTACGCACTGACTGCTCAGGGTCGTTGTTTTTTTTTCGGAGATGCGAAAGGGCTGGGATAAACAAAATTCGGGCCAGGGACGGATGGAGGAAGGAGGAACGGCAGACGGAGGCGAGAAGAGAGTGGGGAGAACAACACAAGGGTAGTAAGGAAGAGGGAAGGAGAGGAGCAGGAGCAGGAGCAGGACGAGCAGGTGGAGGAAGAGAGGGAGGAGGAGCAGACAGTTATTATGATGGGGCGACCGTGCTTTTTACAAAAACAAGCGTGTTGTTTGAGACATCCTCGCAAAGCTGGTGGTCGCGATCTCGGCGGATCTTCGAACAGTGGCGTCTCGTTTGAGCCATCCTCACAAACATGATACTAGGGGTTTCTCATGGTGCTAAGCATGATATGAAGATCAGCGCTGGCGATGCGATCTTTGGGGTGATCGTATAGTTCGCCCCCCTTACCTGTCGTGGCAATTCGAAGCCATATACAGACCAAGTGCAATCATTCAAAAGGGGTTTAGGAGGGGAATCGTTATTTTCGTCGCCATGCGGTTAACTTGCCCTTCTAATGTGTTTTAAGGATTTCGAGGTTCTTGTATGTTTGGGTCGTCTAGAGCCCAAGGCAGCCCAAGAGGCCTCTCTGGGCCGTCTTGTTGCTCTATTGGAGCGCTTCAAGGCCTTCTTGGGGCCCTCTTTGGGGCCCGTTGGGTGATCTTTGGGTCCGCTTGGCCCGACTTGGAGCCCTCTTGGGGGCCCCTTGGGCTGTCTTGGAGCTTTTTTGGATGCTTCTTGGAGGCCCCTTCGGCCGCCTTGGGCGGTCGGACACCACGGCCTTTGCCCCTATCGGGCTCTCCAGGTGACCTTTTTGCCACTCGGAGCTCCCTCGGGCCGCCTTGGTGGCCTCTTGGGCCAAGCCCCCGTTCCCACTCGAGCCTCCGAACCGACAATGGTCAACCTTCCGCACCACCTGTTCGAGTCGCCGAACGTCTGGGGAAGTTGGGTGCAGCGGCTCGCGGCGCT